CTGCTGCCTCAGTCATTGGTGGTGGGGGGCTGCTCCTTTACAGTATTCAATCACTGTGATAGTCTGCAGAGCATGGGCTTTGGAGAAAAGCCCTCAAGCTGAGGTGTGGATACTGGCAGCTGGAGATCAGGCAAAGTGTACAAAGCAGTAAGACCGAGGGATATGAGCAGAGTGTCAAAGGTAGCTGCCCTGTACTTTTCCTGTTCCTGTAGAAATGGTAGACTATAAGAGAGCTATTGCTTTATCTTTGCTTCTTCTGTCCTTTCACTTTTTAAACCAGATCTTTCTCTTGAAGCTGTCTCAGTGTGCAAATCTTCTTGTCTTGACTCCTCTGTGAATCACCAGGCTTATTTCTCCTGATAGCACCTAGTGACTTCTATTTCATGGAGTGGTTGTTGTATACATGTTTTATATTTTCTACTTGACTTAAGCTCCTTGGGAACTCAGGTATTGCCTTTACTTGTCTTTGAAAGCATCATAGTATATGACATACAAAATAAAAATAAGTCTGGGTTAATGTGTAATGAATACATCTTTTCCCCTGACTAATAGATTATTTTGCAAAACAGGCTATGAGAGAAAAACCCTTGGGCTCCTGAATTAACCTTCATAACTTCAACCAGAGAGTGTCATAAACTGCAGGGAGTTATTAGAGAGTCCAGAAAATCAGGGCAATGAGGACTCATCCTTTTTTTTTTCTTCTCTTTTGAAGGAAAAAGGTTTTAAGTATACAGCTTAGTATATTTAGTACATTCACATTGTTGTATAAGAATCATCACCATTCCTATCCAGAACTTTTTCACCATTCAAAACACACATCAGGTATAGGTTAAACACTAACTCCTCATTCCCCTCCCCCCAACCCCTGGCAACTACCATTCTGCTTTGTGTCTGTGATTTGACTATTTTAGTACCCCATATGAGTGGAATTGCACACTATTCATCTTTTTGTGACTAGCTTATTTCACTTAGTATAATATCCTCAATATTCATCTGTGTCCTAACTGCAGGATTTCCTTCCTTTTGAAGGCTGAATAATATCCCATTGTATATATATATATGACATTTTGTTTATCCATGTTAACAGTATTTTGTTTGTTTCCACCTCTTGGCTATTGTGAATAGTGCTGCTAAAAACACAGATTGCAAATATCTCTAATTCAGCTTTCAGTCCTTTTTCTATTTATACCCAAAATTGCTGGATCATATAGTGATTCTATTTAATTTTTTTGAGGAATTATTTTGGTTTTTTGATACCCATCATAATGGGTATGAAGTGGTGTCTCATTTTGATTTGTGTTTCCCTAATGATTAATGATGTCAGCCATCTTTTTGTGTACTTATTGGACATTTGTATATGGCCATGGTATATTTCTTCTTTGGAGAAATGTTTACTCAAGTCCTTTGCCCATTTTTAAGAGTTGTGTTGTTAGGTTTTTTGTTATTGTAAAGGAAGCATTTTCTTCTCTGTGTGTGATCCTTGGGATGGAACCCAGGGCCTCCCTTATGCTAGACAAGCACTCTAACACTGAGCTACATCCTCAACTCCTAGGAAAACTTCTTTTTCTTTTTGGTTTTTTAAGATTTTTTTTTTTTTTTTTTTCAAGATAGGGTCTCTTGAACTATTTGCCTGGGATGGCTTGGAACTGGGATTCTTCTGATCTCTGTCTCCTGAGTAGCTAGGATTACAGGTGTGAGTGATTTTTTTTTTAATTTATGTATTTTTTTATTATTCATATGTGCATACAATGCTTGGGTCATTTCTCCCCCCTGCCCCCACCCCCTCCTTTTTTTTTTTAAATAACTTTTTAATTCATTTTATTTTTTGGCCATACTGTGGTTTGAACTCAGGGCCTTGTGCTTACTAGGCAACTACTCTAGCATTTGAGCCATTACCTCCAGCCTCTAGGAAAACTTCTTAATTGAAGTGTAACATGATAACCTTTGCGTTTACCTGTCTTGAGCATATTTGTGGAGTGATTTATCAAGTTACTTGGGCTGGCAGCTTAGAACTTTCAGGTCTCATCTGGCTTCCACTGTTGTAGTGAACAGGCCCATGAAAGTGTATACTCAGTCGTGGCGTTCAGCCACACTTGGCTGGTGACACATCGGAAGGAGGACCCAGAGCCACAAGTTCAGTTCATACATTTATTGAGCGAATTGTTGTACATGTAAGGACTCACCAAACAGGAGAAGGGATCCTTGGCAGAAGCATCAGAGACCCAAAGTAGGTTCTCGTGAAAGCAAGGAGGAGAGCTTTCTCATGAAAGCGAGGAAGCAAGCTCACTGGCGGAGGCCTGCTGGGATCACTCGGGTCCACAGTAAGGTTGTCAGGGAAAAAAGGCGACCAGGGTAACTGGACTCAGGAGTGGGCGTCTGACCTGTAGCAGGTGGCCAGAGCTAGAAGGTACTGGTCCCAATGGATTGGTGCTGCAACTTGGGAGATCCAGAACAACCAAGGAAGGTCCCCGCCAAGAGTGGCAAGAAGGCTGGCAAAGAAAGGCACACAGGAATAGTCCCTTGATGCTGACATATACTGCTTAAGGGTGAAGGATGCAGAGAAGTGTGCTCTGGTGGCTGAGAATAGCTGGTCAATTTTTACAGTGTCAACTCAGCATGTGCTGTTCTGCGGCATAATGGATTGGTTACACCCTTGTGTGTGCCTCAAGCTCTCGCTTCCTTTGTTGGCGCATTGTAACATCATCAAGTCTTGACATGAATGAGTCCATATTGTCCGTGTTCATGTCAACCATGCCTTCAGAAAGTAATCAAAAAATCTTAAGAATTAGATGGTCCTCAGAGAACAATCAGCCTGGTTCTCTCATTTTACAGATGAGAAAACTGAGCCTGCTGCTTTTTCTCCTGTGCCCTGGGCTGATTACCTATCCCTTATGGGATAACATTTGCTTAACTTTAAACTTACCTGCCTTTTCCTCTTTTCTCATGTTCCTACATGTATTTTAAAGGCTAGTAAATTGACCTTTAAATGATTCCAAGGTATTTAGTAAAGTATTTGTGTTAGGCATGAAGTTATGTGTATGTTGAGCTTACACTTTTTTTTTTTTAATTTCACGATGTACTTTTCAAGTAAGTTTTCTTTAGAAAACTGTAGGCCTTTCTTTTTTCTGCAGAAAAATAAGCAAAACACAGGAAGTAATCTTGACCTCAGAGTAAAACTGTTTGTTAATATTTGGAAGTACATGAGGTCCTAGAATTGCTCACTTGTTAATGTTATATACATTAGACAGTGCTTTTATAAATGTAAATTAGAATAGATGTGGCAATAGTCTTTTTTTCAGATCAAGCAATTTGAAGCTGCCACATAAAAGGAGATTACTTCTGCCATGGCACTAACTTGTGACTGGGTTGGCAATGGCGTGCTGCTCAACGATGTCAGCTGGTAGCAGGGATGTACAGGATGCTTGGCCTTGATAGCTCTCTGGGAGCCGCATGTCAGTGGCTCACGCCTGTCATCCTAGCTACTTGGGAGGCAGAGATCAGGAGGATTGCAATTCTAAGCTAACCTGGGCAAATAGTTTGCGAGACCCTGTCTTGAAAAATACCCATCACAAAAAGGGCTGGTGGAGTGGCTCAAGGTGTACGTCCTTAGTTCAAATCCCAGTACCGCAAAAACTAAAAATAAAAGCTCTGTGGGAGGCACCTAGTTTTTATTTTCTGCGTTAATTTTTTTCAAATTGTGGTGTATAATATGTATAACATGACATTTACTATTTAAAACTATACAGTTCAACTGGGCATGGTGGCACATGCATATACTCCCAACACTCAGGAGGCTGATGCAGGAGGATAGCAAGTTTGATGCCAGCCAAGGCTACATAGGGAGAAACTGTCCCTAAACAAAAAATACAGTTCAGTGGTTTAGTGTGTTTTTGAAACATGCAAGGTCCTGGGTTCAATCCCCAGCACTAAAAATAAATAATGTAAAACTATACATGTCTATGGCATTAAGTACGTGCATTGTTGTGCAGCCATTGCTACTATCCAGCTCCACATGTTTTTTATTATCCCACACCAAAACTCTATCAGTTAAACAACTCCTTACCCCAGCTTTTGGCAACCACATTCTACCTACTATGTCTATGAATTTCACTACTCTTAAGTGCCTCATACAAATGGAATCATTTAATATTTGTCTTTTTATGTGTACCTTATTTAGTATAATATCCTCAAGGTTTATCTGTGTTGTAGCATGTGTCATAATTTACTCCCTTTTGAAGGCTGAGTAATACTTTATTGTATGTAATGCCATGTATATTATCCACTCTTCCATCAATGGACACTGGGTATCCTTCACCTTTTGGCTAATGCAGCTATGAACATGTGTTTACAGATATTTGTTAGAGCCTTTGGTTTCAACTCTTGGATATACCTAGGATTGGAATTTCTGGGTTAGATTGTAGCTATATGTTTACTTCTGGAGGAATCACCACTCTGTTTTCCTCAGTGGCTGTACCATTTTACCTTTCTATTAGCAATACTAGTAACAAGTTTTCCACATCCTTGCCAAGACTATTGTCTCCTCTCTCTCTCTCTCTCTCTCTCTCTCTCTTTTTTTTTTTGGTAACAGCCATCCTAAGGGTATGCAATGGGTGTGAAATACCTAAGTGGATTTCACTATGACTTTGGTTTCCCTAATTATTAGTGACATTGAGCATTTTTTCCTGTACTTATTGAGCATTTGTATGTCATCTTTAGAGAAATGTCTGTTCAAATCCTTTGCCCACTTTTAAGTTGGATTGGTTTTTTGACAGTCTTAGCCAACAAGCTGTTTGATGTGCAAGTATTTTTATGAGGATATTTGCTGTATGGTGCCTTATAAATATATACCTCTTGGTCTTGTTTATTTTTTAATTTTCTCTACGGATAGATACATCATAATTCTATATGATTATTATTATATATTACATATTTATTATTATATATTATAATTGGATAGCTATATATCCAATTATAAAATAATATATTTTTTGTCCCAACAGTATATCCTTTCAGGCTCTGATGACTTCAACCTGTACATGTGGAGAATTCCTGCAGATCCAGAAGCAGGTGAGTATGTCCCAGGAGAAACCCACTGCTGTGGTTAACTCTGTTGGCCTTTGGCATGCAGTGCCTGAGAGGACAGATCCATCACAATAGAGAAAGATATTTCTCTTTTAACAAATCAGCAGTTTCTCAGAAAAGTGACCAAAGGAATTTAAAAATAAAAATTATAAGCCAAATTTAACTGTATCTCTTACAACCTTATCTGTCATAAATGGTGCTTAGATTTTTTTTTTCCTCCTAAGAACCTTTCTGTAGACCTCATAGATCTCCTTTATTTCCTCTCTCCTATTTCATATGTGGAATATTTTTGTCTTGGTTTTATATTCTTTTTTTCTTCATTACTTATCTCTATATCCTGGCTGTTACTTTACAAAGAAGAGCCTTTCCCTTCTGTAGGCCTCCCTGTGATATTAACTTAAAGGGAGACTTTGTTAATAGACATGTGTCTTTGCTGGAGTTTTGGTAACCCCAGATACCAAAGAAATTATATTTCTTCATTTGTTCTAAATGTATTCTGAGAAAAGCCTTTAGCACTCCATAAATTTGGATCTAAACTTTCAAATTTTATTTTTTATATTAATTCCTTACCTAGTTAGTGTTATTTACTGGTAGAAGATGTTTATTTTTTATGCTGAAGACTGCTCAGTACAGCCATCTGTTCTGGGTGATACGTGCTGGAAAATGGCCATTAGAAAAATAATTGAAGGCTATGACAAGTATAGGACACAAACTGTGCCTAGTGTTCAGAGTTGAAGAAAGTTTTGCCTGTTGCTGAAATAATAATGTTGTTATCAGATTTTTGTCTTTTAAAACCTTTTTTTAAAATTTGCTTTTCACTTTTATTAGGATATATTCGTTATACGGGGGAATTCATTGTGACAATTCCAAATACCTTTATTAAAATCTTTTAAGGCCCACTTTGGGTGTAACTGTCCAGTTGCTGTGTTCTAGTCACTAAACAAATTACAGAGGGCTTTCCCATTCTAGATTTGTAAAGCATTGAGATAGATTTGTAAAGGTTGTGCAGCTTACCTTTGAAGCACAACCAGATGGGACAGCAGTAGTCTGCCTGAAGGGTGTAGTTTTAGATTAAGTCTCCTACCCTACAGATCCTAGATTGATTAGCTGAGAAATAATCTTTGGGCTTAGGTGTTTTGTTTTGTTTTGTTTTAACCTGAACCTAAAAAGCTTTCTTTCTTTCTTTCTTTTTTTTTTTTAACAGTGGTGCTAGGATTCGAACTCTGGGCCTTATCTTTGCTAAGCAGGTGCTCTCTTGAGCCATGCCTCCAGCCCCTGAAAACTTTTAATTATTGTCAGTGTGACTTTTAAAATAGAAAGTGCATAATCCTATCCCTTCTTTGCAGGACTGCTCTTTGCAGTCTTTTTTCATATTTATATAAAGAAAAACGTGGAAAGAATTAGTAATAGGTTGTCCCTCCCCACCCTTGGTCATCTGTACTGCCTTAGGGTATGGGCCACTTAGTCTGTCAGGGCTACAATAACAGAATGCCACCAATTGGTGGCTTAAACAACAGAACTTTACTTTCTCACAGTTCCAGATGCTAGAATTGCAAGGTCAGAGTACTAGCTTTGGTTTCTCCTGAGGCCCCTCTCTTTAACTTGAAGATGGCCACTATCTTGCTGTGTTCCCATCTTTCTCTGTGCGCATACATCCCTCTTCTTATAAGGTAGCGCTGATGTCCTTTTTAAATGTTCTTCAGAGTTGTAACCTCAGATTTATTTTGTAGTTCTCAAAGAAATGATGCTGGTTCTTTTGATACACTGATTTCTCTCTGAACCTGTCCTACCTCTGTTTAAGGATTAACTGAATGAATTCAGTAATGTAGTCTGACTAGGCCAGGAAAAAGCTTTGACTCATGCATCTTAGAGTATGTGTTCTAAAGAAAAATCTTTAGCTTGTGTATTCTAAAGTGGTATTTCAGAAAGTACACCCAGTATCACATAAGCTGTTTTGGAGGCCATAGAACCCATGACCTACTTATACTGAGTTGGCTAGACGCCCATTGTTTCCACACAGGCTATGGCTGGTCTTGGTGCTTGGGTTTCTCTGCAGAGAAGGACAGGACCTTATGATTATCCCTCTTGTTGGTTTCACTAATTGGTAGTTGAGGAGTTTGTTTTCTCTGTACCTCTCTTTAGCATTACATCATCGATCATGGAAAGTCTGTCTCTTTAATCATCATCTTGCTCTACATATTACAAATGCGCCTTTTTGATTATTTATAGCAAACCTCAGCTCATTTGGGAATTTAACCTTCTTGCCGCTATTCTGACAGAACCCACCAGGTTCTTGTCATTTTCCTTATTTGTGAATCTTTCTGCTTTCTTTCTATGCTTCTTGTTCTTTTTTCTCTAGTTCTACTATTATTGTAATTATTTATTTTTCATAAAGTAATATGTATATATAGTTTTAAATCAAATAATATTGTAAAGCTTACTTTAAAATATAGTCTTCCTCTACCACTCATTCTAACATACTTAAAATATTTTGGAATTTTCAATTTTGGACATGACATTCTCTGTTGACTTTCTACTATTGAAATCAGTCAGTTTCCCAAAAGAGGAATCTTCGGTCTCCAGTGTGTGAGCTCTTTGTCTGGCAGTTAAACTGTGGTTTTAAGAGCCAAGTAGGGGTTCATACCCCAGTGCCTCAGGAAAAAAAAGTTGTCTGAGAGCCAAGTAGGGGAATGGAATTGTGGGTCTTGTAGATCTGGTTACAGAGTTTTGTTTTGTTTGTTTGTGGTACTGTGGCTTAAACTCAGGGCCTTCACCTTGAGCCATTCCACCAGTCCTATTTTTTTTTTGTGAAGGGTTTTTATTTGCCCCAAACTCAGGGCCTTCACCTTGAGCCACTCCACTAGCCCTATTTTTTTTGTGAAGGGTTTTTTGAGATAGGGTCCCACAAACTATTTGCCTGGGCTGGCTTTGAACCGCAGTCTTTCTCTCTGCCTCCTGAGTAGCTACGATTATAGGCGTGAGCCACCAACACCTGATAATTTACAGAGTTTTGTTTAATCCTCCTCCTCACCCAGCTGTGCCTTGTCCCCATTTTAAAACATCTTTAGTCAACTTCAGTTGGCAATTCCCATGCCAACTGTGTAGTATAAGCCAATTTCCTGGCCAGGTGGGCTCAGGAGAGGAGTATGATGAAGTGACTGCTCTTTATACATGTTTTCAACCCCTCTATCCTGGCTTCTGAAATACTTGACATGTCTCTTTTTTATATGTAATATCTCTATTTTTAAAAACTGGCAACTCATAATTAAAAAAAAAATTATTTAGCAAAGTTCAACAAGTCAAACATCTGAGGGACCTGGGGACCTTGAGTTTTTACTTTGAGTGCTTCAGTTAAGAAGAACCTGTCTGAAAACTCCTAATCCAGTCTACCTCCCTCTTTGACTTAAGCATTTAATTATGGACAAAGATAAGCATGTCTCTATTTGGACCTGTTGAATAAATGATACTAAGGCAGGCTAAAAATTGTACCTTAGTAGATGAACCAGTACTTGATTCTAGATAATAAGTAGTCAGCATTTATTGAACGCCTGCTGTGTGCTTCACAGTGTGTGCCAAATACTGAGAGTCCTGAGTATGAGCCAAAGGCAAGGGCATCTTTTTCTTTTCTACTCTCCTGTTCAGAAAGACTGTTAATTGGTCTTTTTTTTTTTTTAATGATTCACAAACTCCAGAGACATGAGATTTGTTTATTATATAAACAGTTCTGACTTACTGTATTGGCTAAGTAATTCACACAGGACTTCCGAGTGGACTGATGAGATAATTTCTAGATGTTAAGACTTGCTACCTGGCAAGATCAGGTCCCATTTTTTAGTTGATATCAAATAAAAACTCCTTCTGAAATCCCCTTTAAAAATCAGAGGAAGGAATAGAACTGGAAATTTTGGTGTGGCAGAGAAAAACCCATCAGAATGTTTTATACCTCTGAAGTAGGTAGGAAGGGCCTCTGTTTTTATGTTATAATTCTGAAGATAAAATAAAGAAGACCTCAAGTTACATATAGAGCCAGTGTGGTATATTAGAAGGCTTGAAATCATACCTGCAGTTAAGTCCAGGTACCAGACTGGCACCAACCAGAAGAGCAATTCTAGGTGGGTTCCATAATAATAATCATCAGAGTTTCTTCTGTAAAATGCCCCCCACTTTTGTCTTATGTTTAGTGATTTAATAGTCTTGGAAGCTTTCTAAAAGCTACATGTATTCAAATACAAGACATTGTTATCACTAGGAATAGTAAGGTCAGTGTCGATCCATGATTTCTAAAATGTTTTTTCTCAAGTAATTTAGGTGTAAGGAAGTAATGGATTTGGCAAAGTAAAGGGCAGGTGAGTATCTCTTGAAAATATTTATATTTCCTTCTGTCTCCCCTAATTCTTGTTAGAAAAGGTTTTAAGGTTTTCACAGAGAGTGTAGCTTTCTCTGAGATATACCTCAAAGACCTTAACTATTCATGGAAAGAAATATAACGTAGTAGAGTTAGTAGGCCCTGTTTTAAATTCCTGGTCCATTCATCTTGCACTTGGGGGCTTCGGAAAAATGACCTAATCTTGCTAAACTGTTTCTTCATCTGTAAAATATGAATAATAACATCATCAACAAGAACAATAGCATCTACCTTCTTGGGGTTATTGTGAGAGTACTTCATAGCTATTCACTAATTGTTACTCCTCATCAAGAACTTTGTTTTTAAGCATTTCTTTCAATAACTTAGCGATCTAGATATTGTCCTTTGGTGCCCTCTTAAATGAATGGTTGAGTTCTTATATGAATACTGCTCTTGACTGATGAGTAATTTAAAGGGGTTCCCTTATTTGACAAGTTTTTCCCTGAATTGAAGTGAGAAACATGCATTTCCACTGCCAAGTCACTGCAGCTACCCCCACTGGCAGTAGGTTGGGGAAGAAGGCTGGAAAGAGCTGTGTGTCTCTCTTCCTTGTTGTAGACATGCATTCACTCTCAATGAG